CTCTCCCTCCCTCTCCCTCCCCCTCCCTCCACCACCCTCCCCTTTAGGAGTCCAATGGGAAAGCCATAGGGGGTGGACAATCCAGCTGCTATCAGAGAAGATCACCTGTCTAGAAACCAGCCACTCATCCTCTGAGGCAGCCAGAAAGCCTGCCCTTTCTCCTCCTATCCTCCTGTTCTCAGCGAAGCTCCCCCGTCTAAGTGCATGTCAGAGAGCTTCAGTTTAAACAGTTCTCTGTGTAATCTACAATAAGGTTTATAGGTCGCCCCTTCCATTGGCTGGGTGTGAACTTCTGAATCCCTGAGACTGTCTGTGCACCAGCAGTAAATCATACTTCCTGTGTTTGTTTTCAGAATGAGAAACTATTCTGTCCCAGTTTCAGTTCCAGAGACCCCCAAGCAGGATGACCAACATCTTTAACTGTCAACTGTGGGACCCCAGGGACACTAACTTTGAGGAAACTCTAACCCTCTCTTCTTCTTAGAACATATTTTTTTCCCTTTTCAGAGTAAAAATAGTCATAGATCCATCTTTAGTTATTTAGAATCTTACGGTGTTCTTTAAATGCTACCTCAACACTGATGATTTTCACAGTTACACTATTACTTTGGTTCAAGGTGACCTGGATTAAACAGTAAAATAATTGACAGGAGGTCTCAGCTGAGACTATCATGCTAAGGCAAGTTTGATGAACTCTCTGTTCCCCTCCGCAGTGAACCAGGCCATAGCCAAAGAGTTCCCTCTTGTGGCCATAGGCTGCAAAAGCTAATAATCACATTTTATATGGTCAAGAAATGTTTCAAACTCTCTGGATCAAATGAAAAATATAGAGCTGAGACTCTGAAGAAATACATAGATTCAAAGATTCCGCTAAAGGCAAACTAAAAAAAAGTCATTTTCAGACTCCGGGGCTGGGGAATATAGTTCAGTGGTGAAGTGCTTGCTTAGCATGCATGAGACTCTGGATTCTAACGTCAGCACTATAAAAAACAAACTTCAACTCAGCTACACTAGTTTGCAGATGACATTATTTATCCTCTGGGTTCTGCCCTTTAATGATTGCTAATCACCAGGTAGACAGGCAGCCACTCTGCATGGGCATTGTCAAGGACATGGGCTAACAGGAAGGCCCAAGGATGGACTTGCAGAAGATCAGGCCTGTTATGGTTTGTGTCTGGATGTCCCCCCAAAGCCTCATGCAGCCATGGGGTGGGCCTCTAGAGTTTATGATTGATTTGTGGCCCAGTGCTGGGATTATGGGTGTGAGTACTACTCCCGCCCTGGGGCAGGTAGCTCACATACAATATAAGGGAGGGGAAGAAGCTTGCCGACTGCCACTCCTCCCTTTTTGCTCTTGTTGCTTTTGCTGTGTTCTGCCACTGTGAACTGTTGCCCTCTGCCATGTGCCACTCTGCCTTGGAGCCAGCTGAGTATGGACTGAAACCTCCACAAACTGTGAGCTACATAAAACTTTCCTTCCTTAATTCTGGGAGTTGGGTATTTTGTCCCAGCAACGAGAGAAAAGTAACCAAGACAAGGCCAGAAGCTTAACGAAATCAGGCCATTAACCCAGCCTGGCTACCTCATCCCAGTCCCCCTCCTGCCAGGTCACTGGGAAAATTTGCATATGGCTAAATTTTGAGGGGAAAAGAAAAACTTTCTTGGAAGCAGTGAATGCTGTGGGCTTTGCCTCAGCAGCTGCCCCGCTGCACGCACTGGCAACTGGTAAGTCAAAGGAAACTTTCCAGGTTCCTGCTGGAGAGTTCCAAGATGAACGTCAGGACCCCTCTGGGCACACAAAATCCCAGAGATGTGGTTTTTCTCTTGCCACATGCAGCAGTGCCCTTCTGGAAAGGCAGGCTTTTACTTCTTGAGTAAACATTTTAGACACTCTGACTGGACTTTCAAAGATAAAATTAAAATCTTCTCTGAGAGAATTTCTTTATCCACAATAATAAAGTCTTGGTGGGGTTGTCTATCAAATAACTTTTTAAAACAGATTCTCTAACACTAAGTTTTGGCCTGGTTTCTACCATGTTTCACCCAGTTTTGCTGGTGAGATTTCTCAGTGTCTAGCCCCACCCCTGTTATCTAGTCCCAGCTCCTCTTGACCCTCAACATAGGCCTGGATTCTTAGACCCTAAAGGCTCTCAGGATCTTTCTCACTCATCTCTGGCACTGTCTTTAAGTTGGATGCTAGGTCAAGGGGATAGAGGAAAGGGAATGTGATGGTTTAGATATAAAGTGTCCCCTGTATGTCTCAAGCATTTGGAAGGGGATTGGATCATGGCGGTGCTGAAGCTGTTAGGAGCTGGCCCAGGTGGAGGTGAGTCACTGAGAGTGTGACCAGAAGGGGGCTCCTCTTGTCCTGGCTCTTCTCTTTCTCTGCTTGCTGACTGCCATTGGCTGAGCTTCTTTTCTACATCTTGTCACTTCCCCGTTGGAACCCACTGACAGTGGACTGAAACCATGAACCAGCGTAAACTTCTCCTCCTTCAAGCTGTGAGTGTCAGCTACTCTGTCTCAGCAATGGGACGGTGACTAACACAGTGTGTAGGTTCTGATTGTGCTCTTTCTCCCTGTTTTGGGATTAAAGGAACCAATGTCTAGGATGTTTCCTGTAGGCAGCATGTGCCTTGGGGGACCATCTTTGTCACTTGTCTGTTGCTGAGACAAAATACCCAACACCCAGTGTTAAAGGAGAAGTTTATTTGGCTCACGGTGTGTAAAGGTTTCAGTCCACAGTCTGCTGGCTCCTGGGCAGGGTGGTGCGGCAGAGGGCATCACAAAGGAGAAAGAGTTCATGGCAACCAGGATAGGCAGAAGGCAGCAAAGCAGGGAAGTAGCAAGAAGCAGCACCAGGAGCAGCAGCAGTCCCGAGGAGTAAGGCAGAAGCCTCTCCCTTTTCTCCCTTTCAGGCTACCTGCCTTTTGGGTGGTGCCACCCACACCTAGGGTGGACATTCCCATTGCCCTGCCCCCAGAACTATGGACTAACTGAGTAATCACACATCCTTAACCCCAGCTTCACACAATTTAATCCCAGCAGCACACACGCTAATCCAAACACCTCCAAAAAGCCCCACCTATGACCGCATGAGACTTTGGACAGACAGCTAGACACAGCCCAAAACAGGGCCTCTGAAAAAGGAGAGAAGCTAGCCTGATGCTGCGTGTGTAGATTTCTGGTCCGTTTTGATCTTGTTTGTTATGATTTATGTCTAGATGTCCCCCGAAAGCTTCATGTGATCATAGGCAGAGCTTGGGGAGGGGACTGGATTATGAGGGTGGTATAGCCATCTGGCTTGATGTGAGGAAGTACAGTCTGGTTGAAAGGAGTGAGTCAGTGGTGGTGTCATGTGGAATGGTTTATCTCCCTCCCCTGCTTCCCTTTTCTCTCCACTTCCTATCCTCCATGCTTTGAGCAGCTCCCCTCCACCCAGACCCTTCCACAGTGTCTTCCTGCCTTGGAGCCGGCCAACCATACACAGAAAACTCTACAGACTGTGAACAAAAATGAACCTTTAAATTGTGAGTGTCTGATATCACGTGTCAGTGACAAGAAAAGTAACTAAGATGCTATCCCACGGTGTTACCACTGGATTTACGTGCTTCTCCCTGGATACTAATATTGTGGTTTGGAAAATGTATGGTTTGAGAGGCTCCCTTTGTATTTTTGGTTTTTGTTTTTTGTTTCCAGTACCGGGAATCAAACTCATAACCTTGCACATGCCAGGCAGGCGCTGTGCCGCTGAGTTAAATCCCCAGCCCCTCCCTTTGTAAAATAAGAGAGTTGAGCTTGGTTAACCATCCTAGCTTAACCATCGTAGCTCTGAGCCTCTGTGGTTTCCTTCTGACTATGAAGCTCAGGAGAGTCATCCTAGAAAAATAGTAACCAGGGAGGGCAAGGTAGGTAGATGCTTTTTCCAGAGACAGAGACCAAAACACAACGGTCCATACTCTTACCTGAAATCCTCTATTCCAACCGACATGAAGTAACGACTCAGAGATGGTGACGTACTGTACACATCTGTGAGCTAAACAAACAGGAAAAAAGAAAACCACACAGATTACTAAGGATCAATTTACATATCACCTGACAAAGCAAAAGGACTTTCCACTGTAGCCAGGAATTAATCTCTCCAGAGGCTCTGGCCTAAGACAGAAAGGTGTGAGTCTATCAAAACCAAAGCTCAAGTTAACACTTATTTAAAAGAAATTGGTTCACAAGGACCAAATGACCCAGCAGGGAATTCCCACTTCTCTTATGAGTTCCGCTAACACTTTGTGGCCTTGGTACTGACAGTAGTCAGTGATCATCAACTGCAGCTCACACAAGACCCCAGGGAAGGGGAAGGAGTGAGAGGTAGGGGACTGAGGCATCAGCACAGACCACTCAGCACCAGGTACCTCACAGACATCACTTTCTTCCCTCTCCCCAGAGCTTCACTGGAGGAGAAACATCCTTGCTGAACCACAACTATATAGCACTGCCTCTAGACAAAGGGACAAAGTGATATGCTGCAAAAATACGGAGGTTTTATTTTATGCATGAAATGCTGCATGTATCATTTTTCTAAAGAATGACACCTGTGTTCACATAATCAAGGTTTCATGCCTTTATATTTTACCAAACAGATGCTCTTTAATGTACAATGTCCTCTGTCCCAATCGAACCACTGTACCTTGAAAATTTTGTAAGCTGAAATGCATGTAATACATGCAACATACCAGACTTCACAGCTTAGCCTAAGCTACCTTAAATGTGCCCAGAGCACCTCTGTCCTTGCACCATTGGGCAATTATCTCAATGCAAAGCCTAATCTATAACACAGTGTTGACTGTTTCATGTAATTTATTGAATATCTGCACTGAAAGCAAAAAATAAAATGGTTGTATAGGCTGGGCATGGTGGTGCATAGCCATAATTCCAGCACTTAGGATGCTGAGGCAGGAGGACTACCACAAGTTTGAGGCCAGCCTGGATAGACTACATGGTGAGTTAAAGGCCAGCCTGAACTACACAATGAGGTCTGTCTTTAAAAGTTAAAAAGAAAATAATAGCTCTGTCAGTGTATTTCATACCACCATAGGGCCAGAAAATTATTAAGTCTAACCATGGTAAGGTGGGAACATCTTTATGGAACTCAGATCTTTAAGAAACAAAATAGAAGGAGGTGTAGCTCAGTGGTATAGCATTTGCCTAGCACACACAAGGCCTTGAGTTCAACTCTAGTTTCATAAGAGCAGGAAAAAAACAAAATAAAACTAAAGTGACTCCTGCACCTTATTTACCTTTCCTCCTATCCTCCACTAATACGAACCATCTCCCTGATGCCAGCAAACTTTCTTTGCATGCTTCTAAATTACTACTCATATATAATCATCACAGTATGTTACTTAATATTTTCTCTTTTTTTTTGTCTTTTTGAGACAGGGTCTCGCTATGCAGTTCAGGCTGGCCTTGAGCTCACTATGTAGCCCAGGCTAGTCTTGAACTCATAACAATCCTCCTGCCTCAGCCTCCCGAGTGTTGGGATTACAG